TCGATGCTTTCATACCCCGGAACTTGTGGAATTGGAGCACTTGAGTTGGAGGAAGATGCTCTAGTCCTTTTAGGTGCCATAGTTAACTTTTTCTTGGACTTTGGGGTTGGATTTTCGGACTTGGGGCTTGGTGGAGTAAAAAATGTGGACTTTTTGGGAATTGGGTGTTTTTGAGGGTGTGGAGGTGTAGAGAATGATGTGGGGAAGAAGAAATGAGGTTAGGTTTGGGTTAATTTGAAGGAAATTGGACCTTGGGGATTTGGGTATAGGGTTTTTCGGATTTGGGGATTTTGGGGTGTTTGGGGGATTTTGTGGGTGTAGAAATGGAGAGGATGATGTGGGGAAGAAGAAAATGGAGTTTATTTGGAATTTAGATGGATGATTGGAATGGATTGGAGCTTGTGGAGTTTGGCTATGGAGGTTTGGGGGGTTTGTTGTTTGGGGGAGAAGAAGAAGATGGGGGTTGGGGAAGGATTTGGGGAGAAAATCCCGTAAAAGGAGCTTATTTCGCACAAATACCCGGCCGGGTATTCGTGATACCCGAATGGGTATTCTATTTCCCGTAGGCAGAAGCCTTTTTGGCTAAATACCCGGTCGGGTTTTTGTAATACCCGGTCGGGTATTAGGCTATTTTTTTGCCTTTTCCTTTATTTATGCCCAGCCGGTTTTCTTGTAATACCCGAATGGGTTTTTGCTTTTCTGGAAGGCAGAATGTTTTTTTAGCTGAATACCCGGTCAGGCATTTGTAATACCCGGTCGGGTATTAGGCTATTTTACACCGTTTTTAATTTTTTTTTTATGCCCGGCCGGTTTTTTGGTTGATACCCGAATGGGTACGCTTGACAGTAGCTCCCAGGGGCGAAAAAAATGCCAAAACCCGGTCGGGTTGTCTACATACCCGGTCGGGTTTTTATTATTATTTTTTTTTGATTTTTCATTTTTACCCGGTGGATGGAATGGCCGGGTATTCTCCTTTTGTGCTGATACCCGACCGGGTTTTGCTCAAATTTTTTTTTTTTTTTGAAAAGATTTTACACACACTCTACTAAAATAAAAAGAATAAAAAAAGAAAAAAAAATATACCGTGCATGGGTTGCCTCCCAAGAAGCGCTTTATTTAACGCCGTGGCTCGACGATATCTTCTGTTGTTCCTCATTCGTAGACCGGTTCAGAAAGGTCTACGACTTCCACATTTTTGGGTTGAAAACCCTCAAAGAAGGGTTTTAATCTCTGTTCGTTCACTTTCAGCACCTCTCCCGTCTCCAGGTCCTGAATTTCCACCGCCCCGTGTGGATATGTTTTGACCACTTTGTATGGTCCGGTCCAACGGGATCTCAGCTTTCCCGGAAATAGACGAAGGCGTGATTGGAATAGGAGGACTTTTTCATCAAGTTTAAAGTCTTTTCGTATGATCATTTTATCATGCCACTCCTTCGTCTTTCTTTTGTATATTTCTGCATTGTCATAAGAATCCAGGCGAAGTTCTTCCAATTCTTGTAATTGGAGCTTCCTATGTACACTGACCTCGTCAAGATTGAGGTTGAATTCTTTAACCGCCCAATAGGACTTGTGTTCGAGTTCTACAGGGAGATGACATGCTTTCCCAAACACAAGTCTATAAGGAGACATACCGATTGGGGTTTTGTAAGCAGTTCGGTATGCCCATAGCGCATCATCAATGCGTATACTCCAATCCTTCATGTTCGGGTTCACTGTTTTCTGGAGTATAGATTTCAACTCCCTGTTTGAGGTCTCCGCTTGGCCATTTGTTTGAGGGTGGTAGGCTGTAGAAATTTTATGAGTCACACCATATTTTTTCAGTAGGGATCCCACAATTTTATTGCAAAAATGTGTGCCTCGATCGCTAATTAAAATTCGAGGGACCCCGAACCTTGAAAATATGTGTGATTTGAGAAAACTAGCCACCACCTTGGCATCATCAGTTTTTGTTGCTTTGGCCTCCACCCATTTGGAGACGTAGTCTACTGCAAGAAGGATGTATATGTTACCTTGGGAATTTGGGAATGGTCCCATGAAGTCGATACCCCATGCATCGAAAATCTCACAGAAAAGCATGGGGTTTTGTGGCATCTCATTCCTCCTGGAAATGTTGCCCGCTCTTTGGCAATTGTCACAAGATCGACAAAAGCCGTGTGCATCCCGAAATAGACTCGGCCACCAAAAACCGCTTTCAAGTGTCTTCATTGATGTTCGTTTCGGGCCGAAATGTCCTCCACAAGCATAAGAGTGACAAAACTCTATGATGTGGGTTATCTCATATTCAGGGATGCATCTTCGAATTATTTGATCCTTACAATGCTTCCACAAATATGGGTCATCCCACACATAGAGTCTTGAATCCATTCTTAATTTTTCTTTTTGAGATTTTGAGAGTTGTGGAGGAAATTTGCCGGAAACGAGGAAGTTCACGATATTTGCGTACCATGGTTGTGCGACTTTGATGGAGAAGAGAGTTTCGTCCGGGAATTCTCCTTCGATGAGATTTGTGTGGAGGTCTTCGATGTCTTTGTGAGGAATGAGGCGGCTTAAATGATCAGCTACCAAATTCTCCGCTCCCTTCTTGTCATTGATTTCTACATCAAACTCACTCAATAGAAGGACCCATCGAATGAGTCTTGGTTTGGCTTCTTTCTTTGTCATAAGGAATCGAAGAGCGGCATGGTCGGTGTAGACAATAACTTTCATTCCAAGAAGGTAGGAACGAAACTTTTCCAAAGCAAAAACCACTGCTAGCATTTCCTTCTCGGTGGTGGAGTAGTTCTTTTGGGCTTCGTTGAGGGTTGATGAGGCGTAGTAGATGACATGGGAGGCTCTTCCAACTTTCTGGCCCAAAACAGCCCCCACCGCATAGTCACTTGCGTCGCACATGATCTCAAAAGGAAGAGACCAGTCGGGAGCCTGTATGATCGGGGCAGTCACCAATCTTGCTTTCAGAGTGTCAAAAGCCTCTTTGCATTCATCGTTTAGATTAAATTCCACCTCCTTTTGTAAAAGTTTGCAAAGAGGAGATGAGATTTTTGAGAAATCCTTGATGAATCTCCTATAGAAACCGGCGTGACCGAGGAAAGAGCGGATGTCCCGTATATTTGTGGGGTACGGGAGCGTTTGAATCACATCGATCTTTGCTTTGTCCACCTCGATCCCCTTTGATGAGATCACATGCCCAAGAACAATCCCTTGTTCTACCATGAAGTGGCATTTTTCAGAGTTCAGCACAAGGTTGGATTCAATGCAACTCTTTAGCACAAGAGTGAGGTGATAGAGGCAAGAGTCAAAAGAGTCGCCATGGATTGTGAAATCATCCATAAAGACCTCCATGAATACCTCCACAAATTCTGAAAAGATACTCATCATGCATCTTTGAAAGGTGCCCGGTGCGTTGCATAATCCAAAGGGCATTCGTCGGTAGGCAAAAGTGCCAAATGGACATGTGAAGGTTGTTTTCTCTTGGTCCTCCGGGGCTATTGGTATTTGGAAATACCCGGAGTAACCATCGAGAAAACAATAGAACTTGTGCCCTGCTAACCTCTCTAGCATTTGATCAATAAAAGGCAATGGAAAGAAATCTTTCCTAGTCACCGAATTGAGTCTTCGGTAGTCAATGCAAACTTGCCACCCGTTTTGAATTCGGGTGGGCACCATCTCGCCATTCTTGTTTTCAATGACCGTTACTCCGGTCTTCTTTAGCATACCAGAATAGTTCTCCCCCCCAGCTAGTTCATGGCACTGCCCCTAGTGCCCAACTTGAGCCACCACCCATCAATTTTAATAATTATTCAACTCACTTAAACTTTATGTCACCCACCTATTGTTCTCACTTTTTCAGAATAGTATTTAATTTTAAATTTAATTTAATCATGAAAATTTATAAGTAGTAAATTCTAATGAATGGTGTCAAATGATTTTTCCTAATATACTCTCATTGGATATGTATTTAATGGGCTTATACTTTATGGTATTAGCTCATTGTACTCTTATTTTTCAAAAATGTTGAATTTTACAAAGTATTTTTATTTTAATATTTAATTAAATCGTGAGTAAAAATATATGCACCAAATGTTCTTTCCCGTGCGTATGCACGGGTACTATACTAGTATCTTATATAATCTGCTTCTTATTCTTAATCTTAATCTAAATTGTAATCCTAATCCTAATCTTACTCTTAATTTGAATCCTGAATTTAAATCTTAACATATAAAAATGATAATGTCTAACTCATTCACCCATACTTAAATCAAATGAGACTTTATCTTGAAATGAAATACAGTCTTAGCCTTAATATGTGTTTTAGGTAATGTACTTAAATTTTGCAGGCATGGGTGTTCCCTGTAGTGTTTTGATGCCATAGAAACCATGCAATGTGTATAGGCACGGGTTGAACTTCAAAGTAAGTTACCATATATAATACTTGATTTATATTTGTATTCATGAAATGTATGTGTATTTATATTTGTATTCATGAGCGTATTTTTTCTTGAAATAAAATAGTCCTTCTCTTAAAATGTACATTGCTTAAACCTTTTGAGGTCTGTGATGTTTCCTCTGTAGTTTTCATGCCATATATATCATGAATTGTATAGGCCATAGTTCTGGAACCTTAAGAAGGTTGCCAATGATGTAATTGTTTCATTTGGTCTGTAATAATTAATTAGTAAAAATTAGGGAATGCAGGTTTTCATGCTCCGCACAGTATTTCAGGTATGAAACAAACATCCCTTCTTGTGGTTTTTTCATTATCTTCATTAAATTACAACTCAATTTTGTAATGCTACATTTTGACGCCCAAACATTAGAAATTAGATTTAATAGAAAGGAAAATTGAAATGACAAATCTTGCATTTGTTTACATAAGTAAATTGTCATTCCAAGAGTAGTCATATATGGGTAGTACATAAAAGCCTAAAACGTCAACTTTTTGGAGGTTTCCACCCTTACTCTCCGAACTTTAACAGCCTTGATGTAAGATCCCTTGTTCGGTCCTTAGTTTGTCAGAAAGATGCCTCCCTTGAGTTGATCTAAACTCACTTGTAGCAGCATACGGGAACCTGCAACAAGCAATAAAACACACAATCCCTGATAGAACATAGCAATTTGACAGTTATCAATTCTGATAGTTTTCAAACGTTCTGATTAAAACAAACATTAATAGTGCTAATAGATCCTACCAAACGTTACCAAAAATCTACATAACCAAAAGCTAATAGAGCTAACATCATATAGTTAGAGTTCAGCAAAAATAATAGTTCAGCAAAATAATAGTTCATGCGTACCCATGGTAGGTGTACTTGAATTAGCTGACTTATCATTCTTTGTCAATACCAAAAAAAGAAGCATGGATATTACTCTTCGTATCATACCTTATCTAAATCCACAACATCAACATTTTTTGTGCGCGCTGAACTTCCCTCAAAGTTGTTTCCTGTTGATCCAATCTGCAAAGAATAGAGTAATATGCCCTTATAATCTTCACTGTTGTACTGTTTTAGGAATTCAAACTACTATGTGTATGTATGTATACCTTGTTCGTATCAGAGAGGTCATCAAGCCCTTTTCCATTCTGCTTCGGGTCCTCATAAATTTTTATAATATCAGCATCCCTAATCATTGAAATAACTCCATAGGATATCGGTCCTCTATATGAAGAACTCTCCTCCCTCTTCTTAAGCTGGACTTTGAACAATCCTCGTTTGTCAATTACGGCTTCTATGTCTTCAAGAAAATGAGTAGGGTCTCCAGTTCTCTATTCACAATTGTTATATTATTTTATTACAATTAAGGTAAACTTTTTCGAAAATTAAAAATTTTAATTATGTGCTATAGATTACCTTCTCCACTTCTTTTCTTAAGGTTGCTGCTGTTTTTCCAATAATGTCCAAGCATTCCCTATCCCAAAGCGTGAAAGAGCCATGGCCACTTTCATCCATAACACACACAGTCACTTTGTACCTGGACCATATGTTCCATAAATAAATTTTTTCTCTAAGGTCAGTTTAAAAAATCACCCAATTTTTTATACCTTAAAATACCTTGAGGGAGAGTCATGTTGCATGAAAAGCACATAAACCTATCCTCCTCTGCCTTGACTTTCTTGTTGCATGTGTTGCAACTAAGATAGCACCATTCCCTAAAATTTTCTATTGAGACAACATCACCAAGTATCCAGAACACTCCCTCCTGTAAAGTGAACTGTTAAACACATTCATTGCAAAATATTTTTTCTGAAATAGTCATAACTACCTCAGTTTTCTGTAGAAGTTTTGAAATAGCAGTGATCGTCACACTGCCTCCTCGAATGTCTTCATGACTCTCAATCTGTGAATTAGCTGTGAAGGTGGTTACAATACCATTTTCTCCGTCGTCCCCTGGAAATCTGTCATACATACATCAACTCTCAGCTGTTGTATAGTTCAAAACGTTTTAACATTTGTTTAGGTGTGGATTTTTTGAATATGAGGTTAGGTGTGTACTGTTGCATAAACTCGACCAGCTCTTCTGCATTTGAGTTAAATATCAATTTGCTTGCATCATAAGAGGTAGTCACTGATATAGTACCTGGAAATGTAGGGCTTTAGTATACACTCAAAGTTAAATGCTACTAAAAACGACCATCTCAATATCACCTCTGTAGCGCTTAGGCCTACACATCTGCGCAATGACATATATTGGCTCCATTTTGTGCGCTTCGTAGTATTCTAGAAACTGATTTATGTAGTTGTTCCATAAGGTGCAACCTAGCATGTTCCCCTGTAAAATAGAGTTTATGTAATAGTGTTCATGTTCTCGGAAAACATGTTTGTGAAGAAAATCAAGACACTCACTTAGCATCTTCAAGAGTGAGCTCCATAAGTCTCTCTGGTTTGCCATTAATCACATGATTTTGTGGGGTACATTTGCCTAGCACTTTCTAATAACATCTACAAAAACACATCTCTATAAAATTTTGTTGGTACGTTTATGATTAAAAATAAAAAAAATGTAAAATTGTACCCATAAGTTGTTTGTCATCCACCACCCTTAGAGATTGTATTACTTCGAATTCCTGAAACTCGTATACAGAGTTTGGAACCACCTCAGCCTTTATGTCCTAGATATAAGTCTTCCCGTAAAACTCAATCAAGTAGGCATGGGTAGTCGCTTTGTAAGTATGGTAGTTATCCATAACCAAGAAATCCCTTATTGCGTAAACCTTATTCTCAGTTATCATTGGCTTGAACTTCCTTAGATGTGGCCTCTTGATGACTCCATGAATTTTGTCACCCTTCAAGAAAGAAAATTGCATTAACCAAACTGAAGTAGGAAACCACTTCAGCAATATGGATTTAAAGTAAAGTTGTAACCGTTTGAAAACTACCTGTGAATTAATAAACACCATTTCTAGCTGTTGTCCTCCACGGGACTCTGGTGGCATTTCGTATGCCCTGACCACCTTCACCTTAATTGCCCAGGTTGTTTTCGTATGGTCAACCTCCCTGAGAAATGAATACATTCCTTGCCTTTCTGCCATTGAAATATTTGAAATGTGTATGAAATTGTGCCTGATTGTGGAATGGAAAATGAACTGCCATAGTTGATCTATTTATACTAAAATTTGGGTGTATGCTATGACTTGGGAAGACCTTACCTGGAACACCAAAGAATTCAATAAAAAAATAATATTAATTACTAATAATTGTACCATGTGTTCGAAAGTATTGTGGTGTTGTTTTGCATTTAATGCCAATGTGCGGCTCAATAAGAAATGACCTGTTGTGCGGCTCAATAAGATTTGATTGTACAACTTCATTTAATGCAAAATCTTTTTATCTTGAGAAGATTCAAATTGGCCGAAATACACCATTAGAATTTTGAACTGGTTTTGTGATAATGGACCAAAAAGTTTTGAATAGACATCTTGCAACCTCCTTTAATGCTTCTTACCCCACATGCATTTAATGCACCATTGTGCATTAGCAAAGCCCATGTTGACCCGGGATACCCGACCCAATCCGTTCGAGTAATGTAGCTTTGGGCGGAAAGTTGTGCCTGGTTTTCCACGGGTGTTTGTATATAGAAAGATTTGATAAATGCCTTTGCATTTTGTTGCCGGTGTGTAATTAGTGGCACTAACATGTCTGTCAAAGTAACTACGTGTCACGGGTAGGGACGGACACGGGCGGGTTTGGTCCAGGACCGGCTGGTTCGGTCAATCCTGATTTTCAGTCTGGTCTTGCCGCAACTATTTCTTTAATTATTTAATATAATATATTTAAATTAATACATATTATTATTTAATTTAAATGGCTTGCAATTTCATTAAAGTTAGCGATGTATTCTTTTTATAATGATAAAGAAATCAAAGTCAAAGTAGTTCTTTTTTTAAGTAAGTCAACGAAGTTCTTTATTTTTTACTAATTTATAATTATTTTTATGTTATTGTACTAAGCAATTGTAAAAAATTATAATTTAAATAACCTCATTTCGTTTCAACTTTCACTTCATGCATCTGTTGTCATTATTTACTCTATTTTTGGATATGACGTCTTGCTTTTAGCCAATTATGAAAGCATATACGCATCTCAAGTGATTGGCTGCTCAATTGTGTCCTATAACCAATAAGAATTAGGCATGAACTTCTATTTAAAACAATTTATATTTAAGTTTATGAGATCAACATAAACATCGAGCAAAAAGGAAAATCAGAAACACAAAAACACTAAGATCAGAGGTCTTCAGAGTTCAGACCATTTATAATTTTAGTATATTAGGATTTAAGAGTTCAAAATGTTAAAAATGGAAATTTTGAATTCCTAATTATTTACGTTGGGGAACAATTGGAGGTTAAAAATGAGAGTGGGACGGAGGAATCATCTTTTAGGTTTTTAGAGCATTAGTAAATTTTGGGGAAAATTATCAAATTAGCCCTTTTATTATAGCCAAAAGGTTGATTTAGCTCTTGTACAGTTGTACTATTAAAACACTCGATCAAACCCTCAGATTGTTAAAATAAACTCAGTCCGACTTTTTAGCCTGTTAGAAACCAGTGATGCCGGTTGTTAATGAGGTGGCCAATTATGTGGGCAATTTTTTTTCTTTATCTTGAAATATTTTATATAAGTCAGCAACTAGGGGTGGACTCGGGCCGGGCCAACCGGCCCGGAACCGGACCGGCCCGCTACTGTGCGGGCCCGGCCCGGACCGGTGAACCGGTTCCGGGCCCGGTTCGGGCCAACCGGCCCGGTGGGATGGCGGTTCGGGCTCGGGCCCTTCAAAAGGTGAACCGGGCCGACCGGTTCGGGCCCGGGCCGGGCCATTTTTTTTTTTTTTGAATTTTTTTAAGTTTTTGGGTTGGGCTGGGTATTTTGGGCCATTTGAGGTGGTTAGGGTTGGTTTGGGGGTGAGGGGGGGTGGGGGTTAACTAGGAAAAGCCAAAAAAAAAATGGAACCGAGGCCCGGCCCGGACCCGGGGGTTACCCGGGCCGGTTCTGGGCCTCCCCTTCTTGAACCGAGACCCGGCCAGGCCTAGGCCCGAACCGGGCCCGAACCGGAACCGGTCCATGCCTATTAGCAACACCAATAAAGGGGTCAATTGATCAACCCTTCTTTTCCTCTTCACAACCTATCAATCCGTCCGTTCAAAAAAAAAATCAATCCGAGACACCCCAATTCTCCTCCGGTCCTCCTCTTCCCTCAACTTCTTTTCACCATGTTTTTCGTTTATTTTTGGACTTCAAAACTACCCCCCAAACGCAGTACCGCCCAAGGCTTGATCCGGATCCAACCCGAGACCGGTCCATCCCTAGGTGGACTAGTGTATAAACTGTAATTTCAAATAGCGGCATAGTAAATATTACTACGTACTATAATTTTGACCGATTATAACTTTGACCAATTATATGTTTATATAGAAAAAGTATTGATAATATGAAAATGATATCAAAATGCTCTTTATTAAAAACACTATCATAAAAATATAAAATTATTAAATTTTGCATATGTATTATTAGGTAAAATAATTGATCAAAGTTAGACACCGTTGAAATTTGGATAAGTAAATTGGGACGAAGGAAGTATTTCTGACTTTTCTTTAAATGCATTATTTGATAAGCATTACACGATCAATTTTTTTGTTTTGTTTTTTTTTCTTTTCTTTTTACTCCAGGGGGTCTGGGGGAGGGGGTTGAGGAGGCCTGGAGTAATCAGAGCTGAAATTCACTTCATTGACTTTCAAACCCTTATGTGCCTAGCGGGTTTCTAACTCGAGATCTTTCACTAGGCACGGTAACCTCACAACTATGGATGGACTCGGGCCGGGTGGCCCGACCCATAACCGGCCCATCACCAGCACTATTCCGGCCCAGCCCAACCCGGTGGCCCGGTCAGTGACCGGCCCGGATAGGCCCGACCCGTGGGTTTTCCGGTCCGGGCTCGGGTCACCCAAAACTAATTTTTTTTAAATTTTCTGGTTGGGCTGGGTATTTTGGGCCATTTGGGGTGGTTTGGGGGGTTGGGGGTGGGAGGGGGGTTAATTAGGAAGAGGGGAAAAAAATTGATAATGGGCCCGGCGCGGCCCGTACCCAGCCCGGAGCGGACCCGGTGGTTACTCGGGCCAGTCCCGGGTCCACCACTCCTGAACCGCCGGCCCTCCCGGGCCTAAGCCCGACCCAGACCTGGCCCGGACCCGAGTCCACCCCTACTCACAACCAGCTGGGTTGGAAATTGGAATGCTTGATTACACGATCAAATATACCAACACTAATACACAACATATACACATCGAACATAAATTAACAATCACATACAAGTACAACGTATGAGTAAATTCAAAATCAATAATATCATATGCACTGTTCTTAAATTACAAACATATTTTGCAGACTGCAAACAGCCAAATTAAGCAAAATAATTGAATATTTTGGTTCTTCATTTAAAAAGACTCATGTAGACATGTAGTTAAACAAAACAAATGTTATTTAAACAATTGATATCCTCCTGGCTAATTTTTTTTAATCAAACAATTTTTTCTTTGATTTAATATCACCTAGACGTTTAATTTATCATCTAGATCACTTCTATGATGAACACTCAGTTACTCTTTTCCCTAGTGCAATATTCAGTTGTGCTTTTAAATGTCCTGCTATAGTGCTATACGCTATTAAAAATAAATTTATATTATTAATTTTAGATAAATAACATATAGAGTACTATCATAATGAAAAATATTTTGCGCCCTTGACCATAAATTAACGATCCATCCCTGATCATGACATAGAATCCTGTTAATTCAGCTCATCAGCATATGATCAAAACCTCCTCCTGCCTGTAGAGGAACCCGGGGAATTTGCACATTGTGAAGTAACTGTTGCAGCCACCTTCGGGTAGTTGGGTCCTCCTGAAACAGCAGTATATATAATAAGTAATCCTCAAAAAGGGAAACATTAGCCTACGGTACACAAACTATTAGAATTAACTACAAAGTCTGAGACAGCTATACAAACTCTGGGCCCTAATTATTAGAATTAAGACAAAGTGAAAACTGCAAACACTATACATACTCTGAGGCAACTACTGAAGGGAGCGGCATCCCTAAGCAGATCAGGTAGGCAGCTTCGCAGTGCATCACAAGCTCTGTAATAACAAAACAAATATGGACTTGAATTTCTTAATTTACTTGGGGTCTCTTTCTTTTCTGTCATTTGCAATGGAGCCAAAGACTCACTATTTTTTGGCTTGGGAATATGATAGAATAAAGCAAAATGGCTCAATAAACTGTCTGCGCTTCTTTGTTATGAAGCAGTGGTCAGTCCATGTAATTTTTGACGCCATTTTCAATATGGGTCATCCGGAAACGGTCTATATGCTTTAATATAGAGGTAAGGCCGCGTACATTCAACCCCTCCTTACCCCACCGTAGGTGAGAGCCTTTGCGGCACTAAGATAATGATGATGATGATGACTTGGGGTCTGTGTAGATGAAGGATTCTGGAGGGCTAAATCTATATCTTGATATATAGTATATACCAAGTATTTGAGATTTTATGAAGTTGAAGAAATAATATAATGGGTGATGATCTAACATTTCAATCCACCTTCATTCGTTTTTTAGAAACATCGTGTTTTATTGGGCATTATAGACTAAGCCCTCTGAACCCGCTATCCAACATACCCTTAGGTTCAATTTGGAAAGGGGCTCGTTGGATATAGGGTTTTCAATAAGATTGAATTGTCATGTGATCACATAATTTGTTAATTCTACGATTTCTGCAAAATATCAAACAGGGATGGAAGCCATAAGTTTTTATAGGTTGCAAGCCTTGCGGGAGTAGAAGACTGACCTTGGATTATCAGACAAACGAAGGTAGCAACGGATAATATGCTTCAGCAATCTAGAAGAAGGCTGCTCAGCCAGGGCTGTCACCATATTCGCCAGCACCCGGCCCACAGCAAAGAACCGCTCAGCGGTAGTACATATATAATCCAAACCCATATCATCTAAAAGGATCTTTTGCACTATGAATGTCGCAACCTATTATTAGCACAAGAACATTAGTCAAATAATATATTCATGAATCATGATGCACAAGTCCAAATTCTTAATATTATTAGAAAACTGTGTCCATTGAAAGAATATCATCATCATCTTGGGCACCTTCATCCCAACTACATTGGGGTATAGAACTTGAAATCATGAATCCTTTGGGCTATGCTAAGAGCACAGAAAATGATAAGGAAGGGGGATGCTAAGGAAAATAGTTTTTTATGTTTGGTGCAGGCAAGTCTCAAGAAATCACTCAACTGTTTTTGAGAGTTCACTACCCATCTCCATTGTGCGCAGGCAAAGAGGAATTATTTCTGTGGATAGCAGAAAATTGATAACATCACTGTCATCCACCTGGAAAGAAAACAAAAGGATAGACATAATGCTTTGAATATATATTAAGAGAAAAGTACACAAAAGTTGTGTGTGATCGACACATTTGCACAAAGGGCATCATGAAATTGTACTGTAAAACTTGCTCGTGATTTTATACCACTAGAATGAGCAGGATCAACACATTACCGACATTAAATATTGCTGATGTAATACAAATGAGGTCATTATTTTTGTTTACATGGCTCTTTTTTGCAATTTGGATTAGGTCTGTGTACTAAGTGGCATCATCTCACAAGTCACATCTGATCATTCCTGACGCTGCAACTGTCATCAGTGATGCCGCTGCAACTGGTGCTACTGCTGCAACTGTTGCTACTGCTGCAACATAGAGACCTCAGTCACTTAACTCCTCTACAGACCGCAGGTTTCCAGTCACCGATCTTTTTTGTTTAGTGACATATAGATTAGTTTGTGTGGAGATTTATTAACTATAAAAAATAATAAATTATATAAAAAATATTAACTAAGCTAAAGACTTTCACTCGTTTTCTCTTGATGTTGGTTTATAAGTTTTGTTTAATGTCGATTATCAAATTGTCAAGTTTAATATTCTTAAGTCAGAGCAACTTTTTAGATGCTAAGAGTGAATGGTCACATTAGTTTTATCGAACAACAATTAGGCTGCATTATTGTATGACATTGAGTGTTGCGCGATAAAACAATGTCACATTCGAAAGATGTGTGACTGAGATGTGTATGGTACGTTGAATGTGTGGGCATACTAAAAAGGACAGATTGAGGAATGAGACCATAAGGAAAAAAGTGGGAGTAGCATCTATTGAAGATAAGATGCAGAAGTCTCAATTGTAGTGGTTTGTCTATGACTGTATAAGACCAAGTGATAGACCTATTAGAAGGATTAAGAGATTGGAAAAGGAGGGAGGGACCACCTACCCTGACGTGGATTAGAGTGGCCGAGAATGATATGATACTACTTGGGTTAAATGAGAGTATAACTTTGTAGAGGATGAAGAGGAGGAAGAAATACGTGTAGAGGATTGATTTTAAATTATTTGTCTCCTTTTTTCTCTATCTAATGTTTTAACTCCTTTATCATATGTCGATTGATGTTAGCCGACCTCAAACTTTTTTGGGAATAAGGTTTGGATGTTGTAGCAAAGTGTGGATGGTCAACTGTGAAAAACAATGCAGATTAACTATTAGGGCAGTAACTAATTTTTAGTGTAGGTTATTAATTATTTTAATGTACCTCGTATTTTTTAATGTGGACAACACGTGATCAGAAACGACTGTAGTTCACATAGTTGCGACAGTGGCAACGGTTGCACAGTAAATGATAACACTTGAGAGATCAGGTGCCACATAAGAATTAATTGGTAAAGGACATGTGAACAAAAGTATTAGCAATTTTGGTGTCACATCAGTAACATTTGATGCCACTAATGCCTCTTCGATGCTAAATGATCAAAGACACAAGTCTCAGTTTGTTCAAATGCATTCAACATCAGTGTGCTTTTAGTACTTTTGAAGACTCACACAGGGTTTGTTTGGACACACACACACACACACACACACACACACACACATATATATATATATATATATATATATGCAAATATACACGTGGTTTTTATTTTCCCCAGTTACTCTTGGATTTATGATGAAAACATGCAGATAATAAGCATGTCAAGAAAGAAGACGTAGAAATGATTACCTTCACAAGGGCACCAATGACACCTAAGCTAGTAAGCCTAAGATATTCAAAAGGCCGTGATTTGCTGGTCGTATTAAGAAACGGATACAAATAGAGAGGAATGTGGGCTACAAGACAGAAGAGACCGTTTAGAAGCAGTCCATAAAAACTTAATGATAAATTTGAAAGAGAAGCAAGCCAAACATAACATGTTTGCAATTGTGTAGAAAGCAAAAAATGTAGAATGTATTTTGGTCCCACGATTATTATGTCATTTTCACTTTTTGTCTGACTTTCATTTTTTCTAATTGGGGTGCATGTCTATGGACCTCAGTCATTTTTGTTCCTCCTGATCACTTATCCCATCAATTTCCATACAATTTTTCATTGAATTTTCTCTGGATAAGCAATCACATGGACAGGAAGTTGCAAGAATCTATAGCCATGCACCAAAAGTGGAAAAATGAAAGCCAGGACTACAAATGAAAATGACTTGATAGTTGCAGGACCAAAAGTGGAATGTCTTCCAAAAGACATGGAGGCAACAAATCCTTCACCAATCAAGAAAAACAAAACACTTACCATTGAGAAAAAACATTCTGGTGTCTGGATGAGAGGCCACACACTACAAAAGATATTAGGACTACTTAGCTTCAAACATACAAGGATCAAAACATTTACTTCAGAATAGATGGTATGCAAGATCGATATTACCACATTATGTAGAATACAACTACTCTCAGAAATGTTAAAGAGAAACAGCAGACCTGAAGGAGCGCAAGTGCATTACAAACCCTATTTGATTGTGCCGGGGTCAAGCTTGGGGGTGACAAAACAGGGTAGATGGAGACAATTTCCTGCAGTCATATTCAGATACAAGCATAAAGCACATAATAAATACTCAAGACATTCACGAAAGTTCACTTTCTTTTTTAGTGTGCCATGTCAAAATTGGAAGAAAGTTTCGGAGCGGAGGGATAAAACACGCTGTTAGGGAGTGGGAGGCAGATGGGCCGAGGCTCTAGGAGGAGGCAACTGGGCCGATGCTTCAGGAGGACGGGCCTCGCCCGTTATTAGTTTACTGTCGCTGTCAGTGGACCTATTTGGGCTGGGTTGACTACTGGGTTTTATTACTTTCATTTAATTGTTATTTCTAATAAACTGCTGGGCCTAGATGGCCATATTTTATTATTAGGTTACTGGGCCTAGATGGCCATATTTTATTATTAGGTTAAGGAGTATTTAAGGAGGTCTGATCTTGTGAACTATTATTGAGATAGAGAATAAAGATTTGGTTTGAGCCTAAGGCTGGGGCAGACGTTAATATCGTCTGATAGGGTTTTCTGTTTCTATCAATTTGGTCCGACCTGCCGGATCCTATCCCCCACCCTACGTTCATCATGACTCGTTCCACCATTGATCAACACATGGATGCGATAGAAGCGGAACAGAAGGACATCAGGGCAGAAGTGCAATCCACCAACGCCAAGTTGGATGCTATCACACAAACCCTAGACAAACTGGCGCAAAAGGTTATGGCGTCGGGGGAACCGCTGGCTGATTCTGAGTCGGGAGGAGGAGGCACGGCTGACTCGCAGAACTCCCACAACCCTAGGTCTGTGACCGCGCCTCTGACGCTACCAGCGTTTGAGGGGGCAGACCCGATTGGATGGCTCGCCAGGGCCAATCAGCAGTTTGAAATCCATCAAACCCGACCTGAGTTGAAGGTGGCATCAACCATGGTAGCAATGGAGGGTCCTGCTCTGTACTGGTTTTCTTGGACACCGTCGCGGAAACCAGACATAGCCTGGGAGGAATTTTCACAAGCCCTTGTAGCCCGTTTTGATACTCGGTTCAAAGGAAGCACGTTCGAACGGTTGGCCGACGTTAAGCAGACAGGATCCGTGGATGACTATGTGAATATGTTCGTGCAATTAGCCAGTCAGGTCCCAAGTTTGAGTGATGCCCACTACATGGGGTACTTTATGAAAGGGCTATGGGACACCATTCGCAGTTCCTTAAGGATCCTACGGCCGGCTGATTTGGAAGCTGCTATGGAGTTATCTAGAGATATCGAAGACGACTTGGCCGTACAGTCCGGAGGGAGACCGGAACGGGGTTACAACGATCAGCAGTGCCGTTCCAGTAATTACACCAAAGTTGGCGGGTTTTCGGGGTTCTCTTCCACGCCAGTTGCTGGAAACCAAGGGACAGTGGGAAGCACAACTTCCGCGCGATCTCCAGGTAGTACCTCGGGGTCCGGATCAGCCAAGACAAACCAGTCAGTGAATCGCTCTCGGTTCACACGCCTCTCACCGCAGGAATTTGCAGACCTACGTGCAAAAGGGCTTTGTTTCCATTGCAAGAAGCCCTATACCCCCGGGTATGAATGTCCCCTAAAACACTTAAGAGTAATGGTTGTCGAGGAAGATGAGGAACTCGACCTCAACCAAACTGAATCTTTTATCCCACCCGAAGAGGTCGAGCAGCTAGGGGAACATGAGGAGCAACAAACAGTGGCTCTGGACTTACCCGTATACTCGATGGCGGGAATTTGGAGTTCCCGTACTATGCGACTCAAAGGCGTGATTGAGGGGTTCACAGTGACCATCTTGGTGGATAGTGGCACAAGTCACAACTTTATTTCAGCCGCCCTTGTACCACGACTCAAATTAAAGGCAGAAGAGACGAGGAGGTTTGGTGTACAGCTAGGGGACGGTCGTCGCCAAGAATCAGAAGGGGTTTGCAAGGGGGTGTTGATCTCGCTACCGGGGTGCGAAGTACGAACAGATTGTTATGTGTTTCCTTTGGGTGGAGTGGATGTTATACTGGGAGTAGCATGGCTAGCATCCTTGGGAGAGGTCCAGACCAACTGGGATACGATGATTATGTCATTTGACTGTCAGGGCAGGCCGGTAGTATTACAAGGAGAGCCGGCACTCTGCCGGAAACAGGTGGACCTACAGGCCCTGCTTCGGACCAGGGACGTGGAATTTTGGGCAGTTGTGATAGAAGAAGAACTTGCTACTTTATTGTGGCCAAATGTGGAGCAGGTGTGGTGTAGTGGGTTGGTCAGTCGGAAGATGATGCGACATGGACTGGGGGTGCAGCAGTGCCAGCAGCAGCTTTCTCACTCCAACCTTGGGGACAAGGTTGTTTTAGAGGGGGAGGAAATTGTTAGGGAGTGGGAGGCAGATGGACCGAGGCTCTAGGACGAGGCAACTGGGCCGATGCTTCAGGAGGATGGGCCTCGCCCGTTATTAGTTTATTGTCGCTGTCAGTGGACCTAATTGGGCTGGGTTGACTACTGGGTTTTATTACTTTCAATCAATTGTTATTTCTAATAAACTGCTGGGCCTAGATGGCCATATTTTATTATTAGGTTATTAGGCCTAGATGGCCATATTTTATTATTAGGTTAAGGAGTATTTAAGGAGGTCTGATCTTGTGAACTATTATTGAGATAGAGAATAAAGATTTGGTTTGAGCCTAAGGTTGGGGCATACGTTAATATCGTCTGCTAGGGTTTTCTGTTTCTATCACACGCACACATAGATATGTTTGTGTTTTCCATCCTTTCGAATGGAGCCAAAGACTTGCTACTTTTTTGCTTGAGAATATGATGGAATAAAGCAAAATGAGTCGGTACATGCAATTTTTGGCATGATTTTCATCATGGGTCATCTGGAAACCGTCTCTGTGCTTTAGTACAAGGGAGAGATTGTGTACATCCGCCCCCTTACCCCACCGCATGGGAGACTTTGCGGCACTAGGGTAATGTTGTTGTTGTATAGATATGTTTTTGGTTGTATTTCTAAAGTATACACATAGGCGCATGTGAGTAGAAGAGAAAGAGACTCAAAATAAGCAATAATAAGGGTAGGTCCGGATGTGAGAACAATCTGGAAGCAAACTTGTGAGTAATATGTTTTGATCATTCAAATGCAACTCATTTATTTTTGAAAAAATTTAAATTAACTCAGCCATATGAAACAATATCTGCAATAGGGGAAGTACGTGGACAATACCTGCAATAGTGCAGCAATAGTACCAAATGAATTCCATAGTAATGGGGCGAGATCTTGAAATAGCTCTCTCTTCTGTAAAGGTAAAATAAACGAAAGTAATTTTGTATATTAGTACAATAAAACATCACATCATATTTTATTACTACTGCGCTTAATTGCCTACACTGTGAAATTCATATAGGAAATACTGTTACTATTACAGTGCTCGAATTTTGAAACGTGTTGAGGAAAACAGAACTAATAACCCAATTCACTAAATGCTACTGTGCGCATACTTCATTGCGTTAAAGTTTGTGAGTAAAAATTAAACCTTTAGCAAGTTTCAAAGCTTAGAAATTAACTACTGGGATTATGAACTCAGTAGTCAATGAAACAAACAAAAGATACAATAATAACTATCCTCAGTTTTCAGTCGACTGCCAATTTAAATCTGAAACAGTGCAGCTTAAGGTTTATTTATCTAAATTGAAGTAGTTGGAAATTTTCAATATGTAAAAAGCTGGAGCAAGTAAAACAATGGTTTCTTCGTATAGACCTTGGATAATTCGAGAAGAGCATTTTCACGGAGATCGGGGTTACTGAGATCGAGCACAAGCTGCTCAGCGGATTGCATTTTGCGTTCCTTGATGGGATGAAGTCCAACAGCGGAGGGGGAGGGGGAGGCCGGGCCTCCACCGAAGGAAACAGCGTTAATCGACAGATTCTGAGGCAGGTTAGCCATGTAGAAAGAAGAGAACCCAATTCAATTCGTCCGCTTGTGTTGTTAAATCTCGAATTTATTTCTTTCTCATCCTGATTAGGTTTCCTTCATGTTTATGTTCGGGTACAGCACTCACCAGTAGTCATTCCTAAATGATATCCTTCAAGTTCAAATATTACGACCTCCCAAATGTATTTTTAACAAATAATAATATTTGGGAAAGTTCCCGAAATAGGAATAAAACACTTTTAAAATTCTAAAATAGTATTGTCATGTTTTTTATTCTCAAAATAGGAGTAATTACTGTCAAATTTAGGAAATACCGCCACGTTTGAAGTCTGGTACTGTCAAAACACGACAGTAATTAATTCTATTTTGAGAATAAATACATGGCGGTTCTATTTTGGAATTTTCAAACTGTTTTAGTCCTATTTCGGGTAATATTCTCATAATATTTTCATATCTTTTTTATTTTATAAATTATTCTCAATAAAAATATATAGTTGATTAAAGAGTTTTTGTAACTTCTAATCTTTAACATTTTTCCATTCAACTTTTAATTTTGTCATTTTTAATCTCATTGTGTGAGACATGTTTTTATACTTGACTTTAAATTTTCCACATTTAATCCCTGAGTATTGTAAAACGACATTTATATCCTTCCAATATGATTTTAGTACAATAAAAAATGACTAAAAATGCCACTATGATGATCGTTGAAAAACTAAAAGTGACAATTTTATAAAAGTCGAAAAACTATTATGGAATATTTAAAAGGCGGTACCAAAAATATCTTTAACGCACAATAGTCAAAGGATTAAATATAAAAAAGTTCAAAATTCAATATCAAAAGTGTCACTCACATTATAGTCCGAGAATTAAAAGTGACAATTTATATGTTGGGTGTGTTTCGGAAAATAAAGAAAATTAATTAAAATAAATTAATTAAATAAAATGACTAGAGAAAAACAAGAAAGGAGATGAAGCAGAATTAGTCAAAGCTCGTGCTACGCACGATTTCCTTAAAACGTATTTGTTGCCTCTCACGGTGCTAGGAGCGTTGCAACAATCGTTTCCCAGGATACGATGACTACGAACTAATGTTTGAGCACACAAACAAGAGTTCCAGCGAACGAGAACCAAGTAAGAACACAGAAGGAAATTTCAGAGTAGCTGTAGGTGTTTTTAGCTCAAGAAATTCGTGAGGAAAGTATTGTGCGTTGTGTCAAACCGTGTGTTTGTTGCAAAGCACCTGCCAGCTATTTATAGGAGGATTTGTTGTGTGTTAAATGGGGTGTTAATGGACCTGAATGTTGAACATCAATGACCAGTCCGTTGGGCATTGAATCGTTCATAAACTATCCATTTAACGCAGCATTAAAAGAGAAGAACGTTGGACATTAATTGTTGTAACGGAAGAAATGCGCGACAGAAGACCCCAATAGAACACCCCTTGGAGGGTTTCTGTCCGAAGCCAGCAGAACACCCCTTGGAGGGTTTCTGTCCGAAGCCAACAGAACACCTCTTGGAGGGTTTCTGTCCGAAGCCAGCAGAACCCCCTTGGAGGCCTTCTGTCCGGAGCACTTCTGGGAAAAAATAAACGTTTCGGGAAGAAAACAAAAATTAACCGTATCTCTTGAGAGATAGATTTTTGGACGACTTTCGTGTCCGCAGGTAGCCCGCGCACACGAGTCGTGGTTTTTCTTCTCCGTTTCGGGATTTGATCGACACCCCCCACCCCTGCGCGTAAGAGAGAGCCTTTCCCTTTAGGAATCTTAAGTCCTTAAAAGAGGCTTCCCTTTATAAGGGGGTGAAAATCACTTGAGTTTTTCGGTGTGGGATAAAACACACTAGAAACTCATCATTTTTCCCAGTTTTTCCATTTCAACGAGTGAACTTCGAGAATCAACTTCTCATTCACCCGTTATCCGTTTTGAGTGTACCACATATCGAATTGTAGCCCTTAACAAGTACAATCCGAAACCACTTTGACCCGACCCAAATCGGAAGATGATCCCACTCAAATAATTTCCCCAAAATGACCATTTAATGCAATTTTTTAACACATTTTTCCAACAATCCCCCACATGAATGAAAATTGATTTTCGAGACTTAAAAAGACACGAAGATAGGAGGACACGTTGTGTTCACCGGATGATCCTTGCATACGGAGAGGTAGGTTTTATCCTTTGAACCTTCCGTTGTAGAGACACGTTTATTTACTGGCTGTCTAGTAGACTCGATGTCCTTGAACTATACTGCCGTCGTGTAAACATTGACTTATCTTTACACAAGAACCTTCCAACTTTGTTCCGTTCTCATGGGTGTGCCCGTTTTGGCCATGGGTCACCGTCCTGGTTCTGCAAGAGTTTCTAAAGAACTGAGCCTTTACAGTTCTCCTTTGAAGCGGCCCTCTTCTCCCTCACATAGGTGATTCTGTCACGAGTATCCCGCATACTCTGTGACACTCCAAAAATTTAAAATAAAATAAAATAAATAATTTTAGTTATCAAAGCTAGTAACATCTTATTAAATAATGTTGTTTTTACTTGGACTGTAATTCGTCTCCGACCAGACCAGACCAAAGCAGACAGAAAATTAACATTTGTGACATTTTAGTTAAAAAAAAAAACTATGATACGAATTGAAACTAAATTTCTACTATATGAAACTAATTCTACCTGATATATAACACCTACAACCCTACGTATAGCAAACAACACCTAAAATAGAGACCTAAACAAATTAAAACACCTGCCAAGCCAATCGGAGACAAAGTGTACTGCCCAAGTTAAACTTGGGATAATTAAGAAGAAGGATGCGTATCATACGCACAACCAATGCCAATCGGATAAACTCCAGCATCCCTGAACCCCCGACCTTCACCTATAAATAGCAACTCCATACCTGCGTTTTTCTCCATTCACAAAACAGCAAAACGTTATTCATACATGTACATAGTATTATTATTATAGATACACTTATATACGAAATATATATATATATATAACTCCAAACTTTCGTATATCAAAACCCCGAGCCTTAAAAACACTTGTAGACCCTTCCTCTTTGTGAGAGGAATCCAACGAAGCAATAATCGTTGAAAACAATTGTGAAACGAGGAAGAACAAGTTCGCCGGTGTTTTGCCGGCCTAAACTTCACGATGGAAAAAGGAGGAAGAAGGGTAGCTTCTGCCGCCGCCAGTCCACCGCCGACCCCTTTCCGTCGACTAACAAACCCAGAACCGCTGTCTTTCGATTCATCCATCGAGGTAAGCACCCCTGCAATTTGCTTCGTTTTCCGGCGTAGTTACGAAAGAGATGACGAAACTTTCACTTTTATAAAATACTCTCTATATTATGGTTATATCTCGATCAGGCCGAGAAATTGTTAAACTATTGTTATTTGGGCCACACACCTTAAATAACGGATTAGACCATTCTAATAATGAAAACAACAATAAACTTTTACACCAGATTCAGGCCAATGGGCAGTAATACTCCGTATTAATTAAATAATGCTCCGTAAATGATAATGACAAATATAGTAAATTTATAACAACGATACTAACAAAAATAGCAGTAACTGAAGCAAAAGTAATGATTATCAACCGAGAATGTTAATAAAGTATAAACAGGTATTTTTCACTTTTATTGAAGTTGTTATTTTTATGGAATGTTTGTATAATAGTAAAATTTAAAGGGCTGGTAATAATAAACGAACCAATCATTATTTCAGACCTGATAATCGGATGAATATTAGTTGTACTGAAATACTAGATTAATTCAGATGGGCTAAACGCAGAAATTTAAAGAATGTATACAATTCTGTCATATTAATAACATTAATAAAACGTAACTTAAGTAAATCGAGAATTTGACATATTAATATGATTCGGATATGTTAATATAATTAATCCTGCGGATATTTTGTAAAGTATTTAAGTTAACAAAAACTGATTAAATTGATGGCGAGTAGTGGATTAATATAATAATAATAATAATATACAACAAGGGGGAAAGCTGATGAAGTATTATAATTATAATTAGTGACTTATTATATCATCTTATTAAAAAGGTGATTACTTAGAGACAAGAATAAAGGAGGAGAATTAGGAGCATCGGGATTTAAGGTAAGTTTCACGTCAACCGAAATTAGTTCTTTTTCTTCGTGATTTCTTTTAAATATTTTGCGTGCATATTTGAGAATTGAATTTATGTGTGCTGAATTTGAGTGAATATTATTATATGAAAGGGTTGTATTTGAGATATTAGTTGATATATTGTTTTGTTGATATGAGTTATTGTATATGATTTTGGGAGATTTTGTAATAGTACGTAATTTGTTATTTTTGTGGGAGTTTGTTACAAAGTGATTTTTGGAGAAATTCAATAGAGGAGAAATTTTGGTGTTTCATGTATTTTGGAATTGTTATGGTTCACGAGTTACGTGATTGGGATTTTGTATAGATATCGTTTACTTATGATTTATAAAGTGTTTTTGAAAATATTTTTATACTAACGGTTGTACGAATTTATATATATTATTATTATTATTTTAAAAGGTTAGGTGGGACTTACTTAGCATTATTGCTAATGTTTGTTTCTTTTATTTTTGTTTCTGTACTTGATTTTGTACAGGTGTTGAGTTGGTCCCGTTGAAGTTGATTTCGAGAGAGCTTACGCTAGAACACAAAATTAGTAAATAATTGTAATTACATTTTCAGCATCTTAAATTAGTGAACATTTATTTTAGAAGTTTAATCTATTTTGAGTTTAAATTGTTTTAGACTGTGCACTCGGTTAGGTTAGAACCGAGTGTGGCGGTAACACCCTATTTCCCCTTTGAATTTTCCGCTCACATTTTGTGATGTTTTCAAATAAAGCTAATAATACTTTCCAATAAAGATAATAAATAATGTTTTATTTAAAGGTATTTTTGGGTGGGAAATTTGGGGGTGTTACAAGTTGGTATCAGAGCTAGTAACATCTTATTAAATAATGTTGTTTTTAAGGAGGGTAGAATGTGACACTCCAAAAATTTAAAATAAAATAAAATAAATAATTTTAGTTATCAAAGCTAGTAACATCTTATTAAATAATGTTGTTTTTACTTGGACTGTAATTCG